ACCTAACCTGCACATCTTTGGACTGTGGGAGGATACCGTAGCACCCGTAGGGAACATGTGCAGATGCAGGAAGAATGTGTAAGCTCCACACAGACATTTGCCTGAGGTTGGAATTGCACTCAGGTCTCTGGCACTGTGCAGCAGCACTGTGCTAACCACTGAGCCACCATGCCGCCCTGCACTGTGTTGTAAGCTTTTAAATTGATAAGACGGAGATGAGACCTTAATAAGCTAGCCATCTGCCTGCATCCAGATTTCCTATGCCCATTACCTAAATTTCCGTGTGTGTGTGCGCGCGCGCACGCGCATGTTTATAAGGGAATTAGAGTTTTAATTAGTAGTGTTACTAAGATGGCTTATAATTGTTTACTTGTAGCTAGAGTCTTATTACTTATAATAAATTGCAATTCTTGTTCAGTGCAGAAACCAGGTCCATGCTTTCTATCAATCTGGGTTTGAAAAACAGGTAAATTGGGGATTTTTGCTTTATTTATTTTCAAATATTTAATTTTCGTGATGACTCTGGGAATAACAGGGTTTGATTTCTCATGTGCTACCCAGTAAAGTGTGATAGTTCTGACTCGAATACTCTCTTTCTAAAGTTATGACTTTGAACTAATTGCAGTGCTTAAACCAACCATCTATTATTATCCATGGAGAAATGAATTAATCTCCAAAGGCTGCCACGATTGACTTTCCTCACTGGTGGCTGAACATTCTGCACAATCATCAAATTGTGCCACTAATAAAAGTTCATGCATTTTTTATATAAATACAACATTGGATCTGATCCAACTGCACCAGCAATATGTTTGCAAACTTGTCAGAATAATTCAAATATGAATCACATCATGAATTTCTCACTCTGGCAGGTAATTCTACACAAAATCTTTATCTACCCAAAGAATGGAAACCTGAAACTCTCTAGCTCAGCTTAGGCCCTGATATTGATATGAAAATGCTGAGATACATGATTGTCTTGCAAAGATACTAAGGGTTATGGAAACAAGCTAAGATGTGAGCCAGCCATGATCTAATTAAATGGCAGTACAAGCTCAAGAGTTACATGACCCCTTGTTTCTATATTCCAATGTTCCTGTTGTATCTAATTAATTTGCATCAAGTCTTCTATACCAAATCCCAATGTGTTTGAACAATTCTTGTTCATTCTTACAGTATGAAATTCCTCTGTACCCAAACAATGCTCACTTGTCAGGAAGAAGCTGCCGAGGAATCCATGACAAAGAGTCAATTTTCTTATTGTTCATGTCAAATACAGGGCCTTGATTTGAGTTTCCTTCTTTTCGAGTGTCTACTGCTGTTTTGAATCAGCCAATTGTACCTCAAGTTCAAGCCTTCATGTGGCTCAGATGGGAAGATGTGTTAGTATAGGGCAGATAAAAAGCCCATGTGCTCGGTACACATGTGCATGGTGACAAATGAGCCTCAGAAAATTGTAGACAGGAATGGACCATCTGTTCCATCCAGTCTTTCCCACACTGACTTAATGCCTGAAACATTGTGAATAAATACCCCTCACTCAACTGGAGCCAGATCATCTCCTGAGACTTGCCAAATAAAGACCTAAAATGCTGAGGGTAAAAAAGCTTGAAGATTTCCCTTTAATTCTCTTAAATTAAATCCTGGTTGAGGGGATTGCATTGACTGTGCTTGCGTTAAAGAAAAAAAACACTAATTTCTTTCTTAATAACAGTGGCTACACGTTTGATTGGACAGCATTTTGGGACATTCAGAGTTTGTAGAAAGGCACCATATAGATGCAAACTCTTTCTTACAAAATCTGATCTTTGCCCCAGGATCTTATCCACTGCAATTGGGATCCCCCCGCCAAACAGACACACACACGCACACATATACATTGGACCTCCTCCACTATTACGAGCTCACCACCTTTTCTCCCAATCTCTCAAAATCCCTGCAATCACACCTAATCCTCCACATCATGCTCTACATTTGCCATTTTTGTAACCTGTAACCCAAACAACACAAACTCACCTGCATCTCGGCTGTGGTCTCTTCTCCTGTCCGACCAATTTGATTTCCAGGGAATTATTGTTACAAAATAGGCATGCAGCTGAGTTGAAACTCTGCATTTTTTTGATGTCAACAGAACCTCACCCTAACCCAATTTGGATTATCCCACTGCAGTCGATATTAGGATCAGTGACTCTCTTTGGAACATCGAGGCTCTTATTCAAGTTTAACAGCTTCTTTAGACATTATAAAAAGTGGGTGGGGAGGGGACCCTTTTCATTAACTGAAATAATACCTAACAAAAATGGAAGATGGTTATCTTTTCGGATGTCAATTATTTCATTCCAAGACAACATAAGAAGTTCTTCAGGGTAGTGTCCTAGGCTCAGCTATCTTCAGTTACTTCAGCAATAACTTCCTTTCAACAAAAGTTTAGAGGCAGGGATGTTTGATAATGATTTCAAAGTGTTTAATCCTATTCACAACTCCACAGATAATTAAACAAGGTGTGCCTAAACAAGTTGAGCTGCACAACATTCATGATAGACAGATAATTAGCAAGATACGTATTAATTCAAATGCCACAGAATGACTATTTGCAACTAGGGAGATTCTAACCCTCTCCTTTGACATTAAACAGCATTACCGTCATTGAATGCACCACTATCAACATTCTGGGAACACTATTTACCAGTCACATAAATATTGTGGCTTCAGGTGCTCACTGTGGCAGCAGTGTTTACCAGCTACAAGGTGCACTGCACCAACTCGCAAAGGCTTCTCCAATAGTTCATTTCAAACTCACAACCTCAACCATCTAGATGAACAAGGGCAGAAGATGAACTGGGGCATGACCACCTACAAGTTGTTCTCCAAGTCACATGATCTTGACTTGGAACTATGTCATTATTCCTTCACTGTCACTAGGTCAAAATCTTGGAATTCCTTCACTAGCAGTACTGCAAGTGTCCCTTCACTACGTGGATTGCAGAAATTCAAGAAGGCAATTCACTATCACGTTCTCAAGGGAAATTAGGAATGGACAATAAATGCTAGCCTTACCGACCATGGCCACCTTCCATGAACATTTTTTTGTAAATAAACGATTGTTTAATTCTGCGTATCATCTGGGTTATGATTTGGAAGTGCAAATGAGTTATTGTCAAGGGAAGTTTCACTAATAGCATTTAGGGGATGCCATCCTGACCTTGTCCAGCCTATGTGTGAATCTAGAATCACAGCAATGTTATTGATATTTACCTGCTGTTTGAAATAGCCTAGTAAATGAGTCAGTTCAAAGGCAATTAGGGATTGGCAACAAATGCTGACTTTGCCAGTGACACTCACGTCCCATGAAAGAATGAAGAAAATAAATGAGTTTTAACCTGCATCGAACCTGCACTGTACCTGACCTGGCAAATAGTGCCAAAATCTTACTTTTTATTTGTTTTTGAATGCTTAATTGGTCCCCTAGAACATTAATGAAACAAACTGGGACTTAAATTGATTTAAAAGAAACACAATACCACCAAAAACAGAATTCACTGATTCATTACTCTGCTGTTTACCGAACCACACTGGAGGTTGATTGGCACCCAATATTCAGGCATCAGTGTCACACACAAGCTCATTGGTCGGATTCCTAACACTGACAGCTGCATACAGGTCAGTTTGTGCGTGAATGAATTTTCAATGATAGGTACTGGAAAACCAAGAGGATAATTACATGGAAATTCCGTATTTAAATGAACCCTTAAGTGGTCTCAATATGAGTAATTAAGGGTACTCCATCACTCAATGAACTGTTATCTACACAGATACTTTTTGATGAGCAGAGACAGATTATTCACAGCAGCCAATTCACAGCACAGGTACTGCACTCTCCCAGATGATCAAGCGCTCACACTTGGCCCCAGCTGGTGGGTTTGGATTCATGTCAACATTCAGGAGTCATATTTTCAGAACATTTGTTTTAGGATATTTATCTCTGTCTTTCTCTCTGACTTTCAGATGATTAACATTCCATTCTGCAGCCCTAGCAGGAACTGGGAGAGTGAGATGTACCTCATTTTCTGAGAAAGCCAGATTTAATTGAATCCAGAGAGGGTTCAGCATCTTTACAAAGAACTTCCCCGAAGTGTGTATAATTATTATGTAGGGGATTGTGACTTTGACTAGATTATAGTCAGGGGTTATAATGGTCACTCAGCTGTCACATTTATAAATTCATCTCCTGATTGATGAGGATGATGTAAAAATAGGGCCAAACACTTAATGTTATTCAGAAAAACCATTAAACAATAATATAAAAGATCCCATGACACTATTTCGAAGAACAGTGAAGTTGTCCCCAGTGTCCTGGCCAACACTTATCCTTCACTCAACATCATTAAAAATGTAATATCATCTTATAGTTGTTGTGGCAGCTGCCATTCCCAACATTACAACAATGACCTCACTTCAAAAAGGACTTCATTAGCTATAAAATGAACTTCTTAAGGTTATGAAAGCCAATATACAAAGGCAATATCTTTATTTTTCATTGATCAAGTGTTTCAAAAGCCTATTTAAAGTAATTCCCCATTTCCTTCATATTTAGTGACCTTTCATTAAAATATATAGAAGAAAGTAAAGAATGAGATTGTCAAATAAAGCAACATCATCTCTTATTGATGCAATAGAACAAAGGGCTATAGGGGACAGCCGAGTGGCTTATTGCTGAGTTATCTTCATGAGCTGGAAGAATAAAGTTGAAAAAGAATGTGTCACAGAGGATAAATCAGAAAGACTGTGATGGGTGTTATCCGGGCTACAATGATGTACTGAGATCTAGTAGCTATACAAAATGTCAGTGGGAAATAGGAAACAAGTCAGTCACCTCCCAACTACTTGCATCATCTCCACACTTGCCCATCCTCCTGAATTATATCTCCCTCTCAATAATCCATATGAATCGTTAAAATAACCTGCTCAAAATATGCTATCACATTTATACTTGTTTTTAGATTTTCCATCATGTTGAGATGGCAGCAGTTCAGAAGAGGGCTCTCAGTGAACAGGGAGATGAAGCCTCAGGGACAGCAATTAACCAGATGTAAGTGGCTCATTCCGCTTGGCTTCATCAATTGTAGCCTTGTTGTTGAATGTCTCCTCTCCACGACACCCACAAAACAACGTCTTCATTTGGCACCAGACCTGTGACCACATTACCTGAGAGCTAAGAGGTGCTGCATTTGGCCCGCGTGAGGGAGATCTGTGTCCATGAAGCCAGGCAGTCAATTTGCCTTTGGCTTGGAATATTCCTGAACAGAAGATAAAGCTGGATTTAAATGATAGACAAGTGTCTGCTGATGGACTGTGTCTACCAAGAATCAGAGATCTCCCATCTTGCCTCATCTCCATTCTCTTCAATTCACCACCAGTGTCTGATGCAGCTACATTACAGTTCTATCAACAGTATCTGTGCTGTGCAAGAAGCATGAAGATCTTAGACTCTATTTTTCCAACTTTCTGCATTCTAGTTGGTTGTAAATGTTGGCGCTGTTGTGCGGTGACAGGGTTGTGGCACTGATGATGTGAACTTTTGCAAGGACAATAAAATGCATTGAGTGTTGACTATTTTCTGATGATTGGGACTAGTATAACAGTAGAGCCAGAATCAAAGCACTTACCATCCTGAGCACTCTCCACAGTTCTTGGAGGAAAATGAGAACTCAATTCCCACTCCCAACAACTCCTTCAACTGTTGAGATTCTCCAAGGTTCAGTGGTTTAAGTATACTGCTCCCTGTGGCACACAACCAGCAACTCTCACTCTGGGGAGAACAGAAAAGGCAGTGTAAAGACAGCTGGTTTGATGTTAAAGGTAGGGACAAGTTAACAATGTTGGCAAGCGTGAGACAGTGGAGGGCATTGCCTGGTCAGGTGCTGAGATAGAAAGGTGTTAAGCATGTCAGATACAGTGGCACCAGGGTGCTAGGTAGAGGAGAAACTTGAAGAAAGAGGGTAGAGGGCTCTGAAATCAAAAGTATGGAGCAGTGCTAAGAAAGGGAGGATTGGGTAAGGAGAAGAAGAAACGAGGGGCCTCAGAGAAGGTAGAGACAATGTAGCAAATTTCTTTGATAAGCTCCTCAGAAGTAGTCCCTGAGGTAAAAATGGGAACGATTGACACAAATGGTTGTTGGATGGGAAAGCGCACAGTGAATAGGTTTTGAAGCCTTTTTGGATGATAAGAAACATAAGAAATCAGAGTAGGAGTCAGCCATACAATCACTTAATTCTGTTTCACCATTTAATAAGTTCATGTTTGCTCCTTGGCTTCAATTCTATTTTTCCACCTGATCCCCAAATTCCTTATTCCCTTACAGTCCAAAAAGATATTAATCTCCACCTTGATTATACCCAGTAATTGAGTCTTCACAACCCTATCGGGTAGAGCATTCCAAAAATTCACAACACACTGTGTAAAACATTCTCATCTCAATTCAAAGTACCCTTGTTCTGAGACCCTGACTCTGTTCTCAACTCTTCAACTGGGGAAACAATCTCTCAGCATCTATTTTGTCAAACCCTTTTCAGAACCTTCTATGTTGCAACTAGATTACCTTTCATTCTTTGGGATTCCCTAGTGTATAGGCCCATTCTATTCAATCTTTCCTCATGGGACAAACCTCTTAACCAAGTTAACCTTCCTTGCACACCCTCTAAGTCAAATATTTCCTTCCTTAAGTAGAAATACCAAAACTGTACACAGTATTTCAGGTGAAATCTCTGCTAAGTCCTGGCCAATTGTGACAAGACTACCTTATTCTAAACTCTAACTCTCTTACAATGAAGTTCAAAGTATCATTTGCCTTCCTATTTGCTTGTTGTATTTACATATTATATTTCTCTGCTTCTTGCACAAGGACACTCAAATCTCTCTGAACACAAGATTGCTTATGAATGCATCCAAGTCTGTTCCATTTTCAGTTCCCTCGCTCAAATCAATCTGCATTCAGTCTCCATCGTGTCTTTGCCAAATATAGATGGCCCATAAATGTTGTAACCTGCTACTGTGATTGGAGGCATTAGGCACCAAAAATGCAACACTATTAGATAATACATTCAAAATACATTCAGTATGTAGTTATTAAAAGATGTTACAGGAAAGTGTCATTTTATGTTGAAACAAATATGAATCTTGCAGCATTCATATAAGGTCTTGAGGGGACTGGATATGGTACATAACCAAAGAATTTCACTTGTGGTGAAGGCAAAAACTGGGAACACAGTTTAGGCTGTCTTTAAATTTATTCATGCTCTGAGTTAGATTTTTGGTACACAAGGGAGTCAAGGGTTATGAAATTCAGACAGGAAAGTGAAATTGAAACCGTAGATAGATCAACCATTGTCTTACTGAATGGTGGAGCAGGCTTGATGGGCCAAATGCCCTACTCTTGCTCCTAAGCCCAGTGTTCAAAACTTTCTCTTGGAAAGTGGATTGTGATTTAGAGGATATAGATACATTTCATGATGAGCTCTATAACAATGTATGGACAATATTAAAATTCCACAAGCATTAAACTAAGTTCAGCACCTGGCCTCCTCATACTTTTGTTCACCTTAGATAATATTATAAATTATTAACATGCTTCTTAAAGTCAAATTAAATCACACCTTTATCCTGTTTCTATCTGTTTACACTAAAAATCATGAGATATTCATTTAACCCATTCTAGTTCTCTCATCAATTATTTATAAAATATTTCATGTTTTTTCTTGTACTGCACTACCCAGGCATTCATCTAAATACCATATTGATTAGTGAACAATTCTCTTGTGTAAATTTACCTTTGTCTAATTCATACATGTCCTTGTTTATCAGTTCTGATTTATCTTGAAGTGTTGTTTCAAATCTGTCTTTCTTAGCCTTTTTACCTGCTGGGTCCCTTTTAGTAAGTTGTTTATTCAGGAGAGAACCTTTCATAATCAGGAGAGAGATGAGAAAAAAATAGGACTGGATCAGGAAAGGGAAACAGCAGATCTAATAGATGTGCTCAAAATCAAGAAGGATTTGGTCATGGTCGAAAGGGAAAAACAATTTTTAGTGGTGAGTCAGTAACTCAAGGACATAAGTGACAAAAAGAATGCAAGTTAGCAGATTTATTTTTCACAGCGAGTTGTTCAGACATCAATACCCTTCCAGAAATGAGTGGAAGAAGAATTCTTCATAAAAGTGAACTAACTTACTTAGCCTTTGCATGCTGCTCTATCTTTCATTGAAATTGTGGCTGATCTTTTACTTTGATTCCACCTTGCTGCAGTACTAAACATTTCCCAGGATTACCTTTCAAAATATATCTACCTTTGTCCTGAATATTCCTAAAGGCTGAGCATCTAAAGCTCTCTGGGAGGTAGAGAATTCCAAAGATTCACACCTTTTGAGTGAAGAAATTTCTCCTCATCTCAAGCTCAATGGCAACTCCTTCATTCTATTTTACTTGTCTATCCAGAAGTGTTCTTACACACAACTGAATGGTGATGAGGGGAAAGAAACAAACACCCTAGGTATTTTTTTCATCTATTAACCATCACCAACAAATCACCCATGTTTTCCAATTGATTAATTTACATGTAAAGTCCGCTAAGGGCAATGCAGACTCCTAAGGTTGAGGGAGAGGTAGATAGAGAGGAAGGGAGCACCTTTCATTTTAAAGACTATGGAGAAAAAGCAAGGAAACTGAATTAAATGGTAGACCATAAGACCATAAGTCATAGGAGCAGAAATTAGGCCATTCGGCCCATCGAGTCTGCTCCGCCATTCAATCATGGCTGATATGTTCCTCAACCACATTCTCCCGCTTTCTCCCCGCAACCCTTGATCCCCTTGACAATCAAGAACCTATCTATCTCAGTCTTTTTAAATGTACTCAATGACCTGGCCTCCACAGCCTTCTGGGCAGTGAATTCCATAGATTCACCACTCTCTGGCTGAAGAAGTTTCTCCTTTTCTCTGTTCTAAAAGGTCTTCCCTTTACTTTAAGGCTGTGGTCTCGGGTCCTAGTCTCTCCTAGCAATGGAGGCATTTTCCCAACATCCACTTTATCCAGGCCATTCAGTGTTTCAATTAGATCCCCCCTCATCCTTCTAAACTCCAACGAGTATAGTCCCAGAGTCCTCAAACATTCCTCATATGTTAAGCTTTCCATTCCTGGGACCATTTTTGTGAATTTCCTCTGAACCTGCTCCAGGGCCAGTACATCCTTCCTGAGACGTGGGGCCCAAAACTGCACACAATACTCCAAATGTGGCCTGACCAGAGCCTTATAGAGCCTCAGTAGTACATCCCTGCTTTTATATTCAGTCAAGTCCTAGCTAGCATGAACGTTCCCAACCTCCCCACCATCTAAGTTTGCAGATGTGACAAAGATAGCCAGACGGGTAAGTAGTGTTGAGGAAGTGGGGAGGCTGAAGAAGATCTTGGACAGGCTAGGAGAGTAGACAAAGAAGTGGCAGTTGGAATACAATGTGGGGAAAATGTGAGGTTATACACTTTGGTGGGAAGAATAAAGGCACAGACTATTTTGGTGACACAGTGGCTCAGTGGATAGCACTGCTGCCTCACAGCGCCAGGGACCCGGGTTCAATTCCACCCTTGGGTGAGTGTCTGTGTGGAGTTTGCACATTCTACCCATGTCTGCGTGGGTTTCCTCCGGGTGCTCCGGTTTCCTCCCACAGACAAAAGATGTGCAGTTTAGGTGGATTGGCCATGCTAAATTGCCCATAATGTTCAGGGATGTGTAGATTAGCTATGTTATGGGGGAATGGGTCTGGGTGGGATGTTCTGAGGGTTGGTGTGGACTTGTTGGGCTGAAGGGCCTGTTTCCACACTGTGGGAATTCTATGATTCTGAAATGGGAAGTTCAAGATTCTCTTAAGATTAACATGCAAGTGCAGTTCGCGGTTAGGAAGCCAAATGCAATATTAGCATTTGTTTCAAGTGAGCAAGCAAACAAGATCAGAGATGTACTGCTGAGACTGTGTAATGCTGTGGTCAGACCATATTTAGAATATTGTAAGCTGTTTTATGCCCTGTATCTAAGGAAGGAAGTGTTGGCATTGGAGGGGGTTCAGAGGAGGTTTACAAGAATGACCCTGGGGGTGAAGGGGTTGTCATATGAGAAGCAATTGAGGACTCTAGGTCTGAATTTAATGGAGTTTAGAAGGTTGAGGCTGGATCTGTTTGAAACTTACAGAATACTGAGAAGCCTGGATAAAGTGGACTTGGAGAAGATGTTTCCCACTAGTAGGAGAGAGTAGGACTGGAGCATACAGCCTTGGAGTGAAGAGATGATCCTTTAGAACTGAGATGAGGAGGAATTTCTTCAGCCAGAGTGTGGTGAAATTGTGGAACTCATTGTGGCCGAGGGCTATGGTGGCCAAGTCATTGAGTGTATTTAAGGCGGAGATGGATAGGTTCTTGATTGATAAGGGGATCAAGAGTCACAGTGAGGAGGCAGGAGGGTAGGGTTGAGAAGCATAGCCATGATCGTCTGGTGGAGTAGACTCGATGGGCCGAAAGGCCTAATTCTGCTCCACATCTTGTGGTCTTATAACATTACCGACTTCCATAGTTATATTTTAACCAGCTTTTTAATGGCGCCAAGCTGAGAAATTTCATTATGGGATTGTTGCTCACATATATCGGTCTAAGTGGATTCTGTTAAGGGGTTAAACTTCGGAACTTCCACCTGGACCCACAAATGTCTCCCTGTGAAACTGACTCAGGAACTCGAGGTGCAAGCCGACCAGAGCTCAGCGCAGTTTGTACGGATGTCCTGAACGTAGACTCTCCCGTTTAACTCGAGATATTTTTAATCAATCTATTCAGAGATATTATAGCAGACCCTTGGAACAGGTGGGAACTGAAGCCGGGTCTCCTAGCTTAGAGGTATTACAAGTGTCCAGAGATAGTAGGAACTGCAGATGCTGGAGAATCTGAGACAACAAGGTGCAGAGCTGGATGAACACAGCAGGCCAATTTTCTGATGAAGGGTCTAGGCCCGAAACGTCAGCCTTCCTGCTCCTATGATGCTGCTTGGCCTGCTATATTCTTCTGCAAATCAGGCCATTGTACTTTCCAGAGATAGTAAGAACTGCAGATGCTGGAGTCAGAGATAACACAGTGTGGAGCTGGAGGAGCACAGCAGCGTCAGAGGAGCAGGAAAGCTGACGTTTCTTTCAACCGTCAACTTTCTTTCAAACGTCAACTTTCCTGCTCCTCTGATGCTGCCTGGCCTGCTGTGCTCCTCCAGGTCCGCACTTTTTGGGATGCGTTGCTTTGGTAACGTGCATTTTCCGCGGAAGACTCTCTCCTCATTGCCAAACGCTGCCTCGAATGTTTAGCATTACACGTGAACTTAAAGCTTTAGTGTCACTGGGCTGTGAAAGTGATTAAACCAATGGGGCGGACAGTCCGAAAGCAGTAAAATCTGCCGCGGCTTTGCAAGCATCATAAAATATCAATTCTAACATAAAAAGACCGCACAATAATCAAATATTAACGAACGCCAGTCTTTTAACAGACCAATAATTTTAAGGAAAGCACTTTATTATCCGTCTCCGCAGGGACAAAATCGTCTCAAAGAAACATAATTTCAGTTAGAATGATTTTTGATAATCAATTCACCGCTGAGAGTTAATGCTGGGATTCCAACAGCAGGGAACTTCGTCCGTTTAAAAGTTCGAATATAACAGATGTGGAGATTGATGGTGTTATTAACAGGTATTGAACTAGATTCCTAAAGATCTCCGCACATAGCTCTCCCCAACTGACAGAGAGAAAAACAGATGGAGCAATTGTCAAACTGGAGTGGGGAGGGGCTGGAATCATTGCATTATTTGTCCTGGTTAATCTGGATCTAGAAATACATCGCCACAACTGACAAGGCTGCGGGCCAAGAGCTGGAAAATGGGGGCTAAATAGGGCGAAACGATGGGCTGAAGGGACGCTTGCCTTGCAGTAACACTGTACGATTTTTGGTTATTTGAAAACCCTGGTAGGGTATCGCTCAGCAAACGTTTGCAAGTATTAGGATCGCATACACACTTTCGCCCATTACTTCGAGCTTTCCCCGTTCCGACTGTCTGCCAATTCCAGGATTAATTTCTCGCTTATTTCTGACCCGCTCATTCTGCCCGCAGTGTGAGAGAAAATCTCTCCACCAGCACTAAAACCCACCTTCCCCTTTGCCAGTAAACCTGGTACCAGAGAATACCCACATTGATGTAAACGTTGTATCAATAAAGTGAATAAATCTGCATGAAATTCAATGAAATTCTGGGATCTTTATCCTGAATCAGGGCTCGTGCTGTAACTCAGGAGATTTGTATTTCACACGCGGAGTTCAGCTGTTGCTTCGGGATTAGTTTAAAGCTTCGTTCAGAGTTCCCGGGGTACAGAAAGAATGAAACTTGATATTCTGTCCTTTTCGGGAACAAAGCCCCAGTGTCAGATTCTGGTGGCTACCACTGATACTTAATGACGAGGTGCAAACGGGGAAATAACATTTCTGAAGGGTCCCGACCCGAAACGTCAGCTTTCCCGTACCTCTGATGCTGCCTGGCCTGCTGTGTTCCTCCAGCTCCACACTAAAATAACAGTATGAATCCCTGCAGCTAAACAGTGAAGATTGGGATTTGTAAACGCACAGAAGCTATCTCCAGCTGCTTTGCGCTCTGCAGTGTTTCCCACGATCTTTCTCTGTCAATTTGCTCAGTGAAATTTACTTAGCGCCCGGTAGGCAGGACAAGAACAGCCTCCTGCATTCTGTGCTCTCTCTCTCTCAGATAAAACCACGAACGGCGAATGCTGGAAATCTGAAACAAAACCAGAAAGTGCTGGAGAAACTCAGCGGGTCTGCCAGCATCCGTCACCTGAACGGGAAAAGTTAACTCTACTTTCCCTGTTGCCAGTCCTGCAGAGTTTCTCCAGCAATTTCTTTTTTTAAAGTGTGCTCTCTCTCTCCTGTTAAGGTCCCTCTTTCTATTCGCCCTTCTCTAGGCAACTTTCCAGTGTTGGTCTTGATGCCTATTCAGTCTGTGTCTGGCCCTCTGCTGTGCCTGTCCCTGTTTCTCAGTATCCAGGTCCTCTCTTTCCCTGTCGCCCGCCGATTGCAGGAGGATTGCGGGATGTGAGCGGCCCTGCAATATCTTCCTCCCTCACTTTGTCCCCCTTCCAACCCAGAAATCGATACAATTTCACTTGTGCATCACGAGCAATAGACGCACCAAGACCCCCGCAAACTCAGTTTGAAAACAGCCGGATCCCGGATACAAAGCGCATACATTCAATGTTTGGACTTTATTTCCCTCGAACGGTACCTGTACATTTACATGGGACAGATTCTGTTCTCTGAAACTGAAGTTAATTTAAAAAAAACACACAAGTTGAACAGAATTTGATCGGAACAGGAGATAAACGGCCTCTCATGTTAAGG